GCCCTTAAGAGATTATTTTTTGTTGGTGTACATGTATGTGTGCGTGTGTGAGCTTTATGATGTATGCAATAGGATTTGCCTGTCTCTGCCTCTCAATACTGGAGTTACAGGCATGTACAGTCATGCCCAGCTTTTTACATAGGTACAGGGGATTTGAACTCAGATCCTCATACTTTTACAGTGAATGTTTCCACCAACTGAGCCAACACCCTAACACTTAGATAAATCTAACTACTGACCATTATACTGGCTTCAGAATAACATATGACACTCTATGCTATTTGTTCTCATTTTCAGGCCGGCATGCTTCAGGCACTGTGCGCCGTGTTCTTCAATACTGTTGGTCTGACTTTCACAACCTTGTCCAGCAGGGTCCTGAGCTCCTTTTACTGAGAGAGAAATGATGGTGTATAAAGTCTGCCTTACTTATGGGAGCCACACAGTTCACAAGTACCCCCAGTCTGTTCAAGGTCCAGGTTTTTCAGTTTAGAAGCAAACAAAAATATTTTAAGCCTTCAAGTTTCTAAAAGATCAAGTGCTTGTAGTAAACTTCCAAAACGGCAAGAAAATCAATTGTTATTCCAAAAATAAACTGCAGTTTTATGAGTGCCTTTAGATAAATACTAAAAATAGCTCATTTTTATTGTTATTAATTATTTAAAGTAACTGAAACTATTTTGGAATATATTTTAGAAACCCACCAGGATCTGGTAGGCCCATGATCACTGTCCACGAGGCTACACTAGGTGTACAGGAAATCCCTACTGTTATGTGCTGGAACACGGGGACCGGTAAGAACAGCTTTTGATTTCCAAACAGTTAGTGAGGGCATGAAACACAGTGACAAAGCACACATTCTACAAAGAGGACACAGCACTGGGTCTCACAGCAAAGCCACCAACAGTGCGCCACATAGTCAGAGGGCAGCAGGGGAATGTAGAGAAGGAAAGAGACAAGTCAGTCAGCTGGCCATGTGCTCGGCTCACTCCAGGAGAGGGAAAAGCCCAGACACAGATTCAGATGCAGGAAGCCAGAGCTGCCCTAATGCGGACTGGAAGGCTGGGTGCAGACCATGAAGAAATGAAAACCAGTCACGGTTTTAAGCAGGAAGCAACACGTTCAGAGCCATCCCTTAACTAAGGCCTCAGGGACAGAGTGAAGCAGGAACGTGGGCAGCACAGGGGTGGGTTCAACACTTGGCTGTGTGAACTGTTACACAAGACTCTTTATTTAGGGTTTTACTGCTGTGAAGTGAAACTATGACCACAGCAGCTCTTAGAAAGAAAATATTTAATTGGGGCTGTTTTACAGTTCAGAGGTTTAGTTCATTATTGTCATGGCAGTAACATATCAGCACACAGGCAGACAAGGTGCTGGAGAGGTGGTTCTACATCCAGATCCTCAGGCAGCGGAAGAGAGAGCTACTGGACATAGCTTGAGCTTCTGAGACCTCAAGTCCACCTTCACCGACACAGTTTCCTCCAAGAAGGCCACATCTACACCAATAAAGCCACACCTCCTCCCTATGGGTCTATGGGGGCCATTTTCAAACCACCACAAAGATAAAACCTTTTTATTTCCCCCTTTTTAATACACACACACACACACACACACACACACACACACACACACACACCAATATACTCCATGGTTGGAGACATACATTAGCGAAGATTAACATCTGTGTTAGCTCACATACTTATCTATGGTGAGAACAGATGAGATCTACACTGGTCTTGCCAATTGTAAATGGAGAATGGAGTAAGACAAAACAAACTCAAGTAATAAATGGCAGCTGCTGACACGAAGACTGTGTGTCACTACTTCAGGAACATCTACATGGGAGTGTGATGAGATCTACTGAAAACCCTCACAGGAGAAGTAGCTTTCAATTTTTCAGACTGTCAACAAGATAATCTGAAAAATATTTAGGGGATAAAATTGAAAACTTAAGTGACAGCCCAGGCCTAGAGTGTGAGAGAGAAGGTGTTAGTGATGAGCTCCAGGTCTAGGCTGGGTGACGGAAGGCTGTGGCTGGTGGCTCCTCTGACAGAGAATATGGAGGCAGAATGAATCTGGCAATGTGGGGTCTTGCTGAGGAGCGGACCCTCGTGTGCATGCAGGAGTAGAGACCTAAAAGATCAGTGGGCAGGTCTGGGGTGTGGGTACAAGGTGTGGCTGGGTATTAAGACAAGAGGGGTTATGAGCACCTCACACCATGAGAAGGGAAGACACCGCCTGGAGAGGGCATGTTCAGTCAGCTCAGTGAGCCAGGACGGAACCTAAGAACATCGACAGGACAAGAGGCAGGGGTACCCAAGGAAGAAAAGAAGTACAAAGTGGACTGGAGCCCAGCTCAGTGAGTGAAGCACCAGCCATCAAATGCTAAGACTGGCGCTCACCTCACACCTGCAGGGATGTGTATCACTCACATTTCATCAATGAATCAAGTCACAACTAGTCAGAAGGCAGAGAACAGCTGACTCTGGGGTATCTATAACACGATAATACAACCCTTGCCCCTAAGGCCCAGGGAACATTAAGGAAGAAGGGGCAGAAAGACAGCAAGAGCCAGAGGATCAGAAAGTCTGCTGCAAGACTGTGTCTTCTAGATCTGACAGGGAAGCCAAGCCCATGGAATCTCAATATGGCTGTTTAACAACAAGAGCCGAGCAAGATAGGAAAAATCTTATGGGGTCCCATGCCCAGATGAAGAGCTACAGGCAATTAGAGACTGCTGAGAGGGAAAATTAGTCTTCTCCAGATGAGCCCCTTAAATTGTTATCCAATCCCAAGTGGTCAGCACTAAAAATATGTATGGATAAGCAGTACTAAACAGACTCAGCAGGTTGTATTAACATATTTACTTTCATATATGTGTATGATGTGTGTGTGTGTGTGTGTGTGTGTGTTTAAAGAATGAGAGGCCATGAATTTGAAAGGGAGCAGGGGGAAAGGGATCATGAAAGGAGGAGCAATGATATAATTATATTTTAATTTAAGAACTTTGGGTTTTGAGATTGGTTCTGTCTATGTAGACCTGGCTGTCTTTAGAAGTAACTCTGTAGACCAGGTTGGCCTCAAACTCACAGGGAGGGATCAGCCTGCCTCTGCCTCTAGGGTGCTGGGATTAAAGGCGCTGGCTAACTAACTTTAAGAATGACTGGAGTTCAGATTCCCAAGAACGCACGAAAAATTTCAACACAGAAGAGTACAACAGTTATGATGGCAAGTGTTGTCAACTGGACACGACCTAGAGAAGGGCCTCTTGACATGCCTAAAGGGGGTCAGAGGACTTCCATGTAACTGTGAGCCGAAATAAACTCTTTCTCCTTAGCTTGCATTTGTCAGTGTATTTTGTCACAGCATCAGCAAAGGAAAACTAAGATAATCTCAACTCTTATATGGGGAGATAGGAGGAGGAAAAGACATAAAAATCCCTGGAAGCCTGGGGCCAGTCAGTTGGCGCATGCAGTGGCAAACAACAACAGACCCTGTCTCGAGCAAGGTAGAAGACCAGGACTCAACGAGCTTGTCCTTTGACCTCCAGATGCATACTTGTGTGTATACATTTACACACGACATGGTATAAGCAGCAGTGAGAAGGGGAAAGAACCTGCCATACACTTAGGTGATGGGACAAGGGGGAACTACCCAGGAGGAAACTGCAGACTCAAAGGTTGGCTCAACATTATAGTTTTGGCTCTTTGTTTAGACAGGGTCTCATTAAGTGGCTGGCCTGGAACTCACAGAGATTCTCTTCCTATTGCCTCTCAAGTGCTGGAAATCATTATTTGTAAGATAAAGAACTCTGATCATTCTGTGATCTGTGAAAATAGAACACAGACAATGGCAAAGAACAATGACGAAGTCGGGAAGACCCATTGACAGAACAGGGTCCTTGAGAAAAAAGAAAGGTTTTGCAAGATTCACCCATGTATCAGGGGCCTCCTAGGAGCTCACAGTCTGCCAGGGGAGCAGTATCAACAAACAAGAGAGTGACACAGACACCAGTCCTCCGGGCACATTATGCCACAGAATGGAGGACCCAACTGGCATGGCTTCCCCGAACCATGTCTGTAGCTGCTCCCATTCTCCATCCCTGCTATCTCAGGCAGGAGCTGGGACCCAGCCCCACCAGGAGTTTGATGAGGCTTTTTTGTTTATTTTGTATGAATGAACAAATGAACCTACTGGTATTTACTCCCAGGGATAGAAATTTTAAAGAGGTGTAACAACATATTTTAAAATAATCAAAGTAATTTGGGACATTAAAATATTCAAACATTAATAAAAATAATACTATACATACAACAGTACACACGTCCACTTCAGCTGTGAGGTAAACTGACCGGGCGATACTGGCTTGCAGCCACAGTTCTCAAGTTTTCAGACTTTTGGTTTTCGATAAATATCATCTGCATACTGTCTCTTTGTCAGACAAACCTAGAGTGCTATGGGTATGCTTTATAGGGTCTATCCACTTTCCGAGGTTGACCTTTGTTTAATTACAGGTGTCTATCTATCCCATACTGGAAGCTATGCCTCCAAGTTTCAGGGCAAAATGTGATGGCTCTCCCAACAAAAAGGAACCCACTGGCCAACCATGCACACGACCTACTTTCATTAGAACGCCTGTACATAGTGTTAAAACCGTTATGCTTTTCAATACACAGAGCATTCATGTATGGGTCGTGGGAATTCTCCAACAAAGCACAGCACCTGAACCCGAGTCATGCTTAGAAACGTGGGGGAGCGTCCCTATTTACCTCCTAAACCGACAGGAAAGGAGCTACAACAGATAATGGTGTGTGGTGACAACATCTAAACAATACTTTCTACGTCAGAAAGCAAAACTACTTAAATGAGCAATTGTATACATAGTAATTAAATAATCTGAGTTTTAAGGACCAAACCAAGCCCATCATCTATGAATCTAAAAAAGGCACAATTTAATGCATTCAGAATGTATGGGTGTGGGGAGGTGGGGTTCTACTTACCTATAGCACAATGTAAAATCTAGAGAGAAAACAAAAAGGGGGAAGAAAATTAGTGAGAACCAATATTACAGTTTCATTGCACATAAATTGCTCTTTCAGTTAAGAACAGAACAGCAGTGGCCAGCAATACTTAACCCGAAAAAGCGAACATTCTACTTTTAAACCTTGCTACAGGCTATTTATAACTTGTTACTAGTTTTGTTTGTTCATTTTAGTTTGAGTATCTCTGAGAGATAGTACAGACTTAATGGTCACACAGTGGCTTGTTGGATGTCAATGACCTCTTTTATAACTCGTCAGCTCACAAGCACAGCCACAGCACAGCCTCTCCTGTGTCCTATAACGTGCAGAACAGACCTGTCACAGACCACACGAGGCACCAGTAGCGCCTTTGTTGGTTGTTCTTCATTCTTCAAAGCTCCATCCCTGCTCCTGTCCTGCCTCACTCAATGATCCTGCTGCAGAGTTCTTCCCTAGTCTAACTTCTCGACTTGTCTCCCAGCTCCAGCTCCACTTTCCAAACCACCTTGGACATCTGCATGCACTGCATCAGCATCTCAAAATGGCTACCTCAATGAGGCACATAGCTTCCTTCCTCTCTCCATTACCCGAGACCACTGGACTCCCAGGCTGTTGGACTAACGACTCTTCACCTCCAAGTCTCAACTGGCTTCCTATTCCTGCTTGTTTTCACTTCTAGCAGCTGGAGTGAGAATGCCATTTCCACCCTATCTCAATGGCCTCCCAATTGGCCAACTGTGTCCCTCTACATCCCTGTTGCTTTAGCACTGGTGATGACTGTCTTGATGCCACCTATAGGACTGAGTTCATGAACAGAGTTCTTCTGGGCGATAAGAATAAAGTATGTTGCAGTTCCTGGTATCACTTTTACAAAACATCTCTAGCAGTTATTTATTTGATCCTGCTAGTCACCCTGACAGGTAGACAGGGCAGTTAGGGCAGTGGGTGGGAACACCAGGACACAGAATGCTGCAGAGCTTGCTACAGCGGTCAGCAATAGCCTGGGCAACAATCTGCACCTTGGTTTTCTGTCTTCTCTGTTTTCTGCCACTATTTCTGAGTTCTGAGCCCTGGAGGCAAGAATGTCACAAGACAGACTTTAGCTGAACTATCCCTGATCAGCTCTATGCTTAAAGACTACTTATTTCATTAACGTCCCCAATCCCATGCAGAGAGCAGAGCAGAGGGAGAGAGCCTGGCTTTAAAAACTGAGCTATGCCAAAGTCCCTGCTACCTGAAAAGAGAAGAGAGAAATTTCCATCCATCCAGTCATGTTATCCCTTTCAAAAGACGCCCAGAAAGTCTCAAATGTGTGACTATTACAAGAGAAGCGCAAGCCCCTACTGCACAACTTGGGAAAACGAGAGGACAAATCTAGATTAAAGTGAGGGCTGCAATGAAGGACATGAATGAAGAGCAGCCTTTGAGGAGACAAAGCAGCGTGCATTCTCTTCATGTATGCGACAAGACATCCTGACTGCTCATTAGGACAGGGCACTGTAGGAAAAGATGACAGTAACTTGTGCCACCCTGTTTTCTAGGTCTCCATCCTTTCTCATCACACGTATTTTATAACGCCCCCTTCCTAATGAAACTCACAGCTGACATGACCTACTTACACAAAATTTTCAAAAACTATCCTAACTAATACACAAAGAAGAAATAAGAAGAAAGTAAGTTAATTAAAAATACATATTTCAGTATGTAAATGCTTTTGGACATAAATATGTTACAAAAAGCAGATACAATACTAACTTATAATAAATAAATTTGGATTTAAAAATAAAATGTTCAGAGGCCAGAGAGATGGCTCAGCAGGTGAAGGTCTTGCTGTGTAAGCCAGGCACCCATGCAAGGAGCCCATGGAAAGGCAGGTGGAGGGGCTGACTCCAGTATTCCCTGACTGCCACCATGTGCACTCCTATGTTCACACCCATATAATGATAAATAAAACTTAAAAAATAATAAGAATTTCAGACACTACCCTGAGTAAGAATTAGCAAATACTAACAGAAGAGTCCAAACTAACATGAGAAACAAAACCATCACTAAGGTAAGTAGTAACAGAAACACAGCAGAGCACACAAATGCAATTCCATTTCAGATTAACCAGATCTTATTTACTTATAAATACAACACGAAACTTATCTTGTAGGTTACTCCAAGGAGTCAACTAAGAAAGTACAGAAAACTTATCCTTCTGAAATTCTGGGCCGAGTGTGGAAAAATTTCTTGCACACCATATTCTTTAAATAGTGAAAGGACGGAAAGATAAATTGCGAAAACAAACCATCACCACCTCAGCAAACGACATAAAGAACTTCAAGGGGCAACAACGTAGTTATTGCTAGGTTGGGTCATGTTTAGAAAATTAAAACAGAGTTGGGAAAATAGCTCAGTCAGTAAAGTGCTCACAAGACACCTGAGTTCAGTCTCCAGAACCACACATAAATAAAACAATAAACAAACCAGGCTGGTAATCTAGTACTGATGAGAAGAAAGCCTCACCTACATGGCAAGTTCCAAATTAGTGGGGAAAAAACCAATTAAAAGGAACAACAACAATAAAACCACACACAAAAAAACTAAGGTGGATACCCAAGGTGTTCTCTTGTTTCCAACTTCCACATATTTGTATATACATACACAACCACATAAATAATAACAATAATAATTTTAAAGCCAAAGTTATCTCAAAATAAAACTATTTCACAATTGAAATTTCTTTTTCTTTTCTGTTTTTCGTTTTTCTTTTTTTCTTTCTTTGGTTTTTTGAAACAGGGTATCTCTGTGCAGCCCCAGCTGTCCTAGCACTTGCTTTGTGGACCAGGCTAGCCTCAAGCTCACAGAGATCTGTCAGCTTCTGACTCTCAAGTGCTGAGATTAAAGGCATATGTAATTACTGCCTGGGCCTGAAATTTCTTATCATCACACAGATAACATGAAGTATTATTAGTCTATATTAAAGAAGGTGTTCCCACCTTATTTTATTGAGACAGAGTCTCATAGTATAGCCTTGGCTAGCCTGGAACTTTCTATGCAGACCGGGTTGGTCTTGAACTTACAGAGATCCTCCTGCATGCTGGGTTTAAAGGTGTGCACCACCCAGCCGGAGCTACCCCACTGATTTAATGGCTAAAATCTGAGTAACAACCCCAACATTTCTGGGCTGTAACAACACAAGCCCTCTGAAACCTTCTCTGTAAGTATGCACGCTAGGAGTGCCAAAGCTCTTCCAGACACAACACAATGTGAGAGAAAACAAATTATTTTGAGGTAGTATCTTTATTTCATATTAGCTTTTTCCTTCAAATTGATGGTGTCAGCACACAGAATTCTAAAGACAATCGCCCAAGATTATAGCTGCCTGTCTACCCAAACACCGACCTAGATATTGTAGGATAGAAATTTTGCAAATATAATTAAAATGACAATTTATTTAATATTTATTTATTTATAGATAATACCTCACTCTGTAGCCCAGGCTGGCCTGGAACTCACAATATAGCTACCTGGTCTAGAACTTATGGTAATCCTCCTGCCTCAGCTCCCTAGTTGTTGTGACTATAGGCATGGGCCACCGTACCTAAGTCAACTGATCTTAGGGTACAGAGATGATTTTGGTGGACACAACCCAATCATAAGCACACTTTAAGAGTTTTCTAGCATGCATGTGACCTTGGGTTTGAGTCTCAGAACTGGAAAGAGAACAAGAATCTTCTGTAGCAGGTTGTCACAGGGAAATCAATGACACTCAAAAAACACAGATTCAATATAGCATGCTTAGAGGCTGAAGGGGCTGTGTGTAAGGACTGCAGAGTAAAGATATTTTGTTTGTAATCTAATAAATGAAGATTGCTTGAAGATCAGAGGGCAGAGCTAAGCCACTAGTTAGCCATATAGGCCAGGCAGTGGTGGCATGGCACATACCTTTAATCCCAGCAGTAGGGAGACAGAGGCAGATGGATCTCTGTGAGCTCAAGGCCACTCTGGGCTACGTGAGATTGATCCAGTCTAAAAAGAGAAACAGAGCCAGGCAGTGGTGGCCTGCTCACACCTTTAATCCCAGTATTTGGGAGTCACACACCTTTAATCCCAGCACTAGGAAAGAGGAGACAGAAATGGATATAGGTGGGCAGAGAGAGGGATATAAAGCAGGAGGAGATAGGAGCTCAGATGCAGTCTGAGGATTCATAGAGACAGACGCAGTCTGAGGATCTGTATAGACAGACACAGTCTGAGGATTTCGTCTGAGGATTTGTAGAGACATTATCGCCCCTTTGGTCTGAGCATTGGTAGAGGTTAAGAACTCTAGTGGTTGGTCACTCTGCTTTAAAGCTCTGATCTTCAGCATTAACTGACTCTAGGTTTTTATTATTAAGACCAATTAGAATTTGTACTACACTGCAGAATAGTTCCTGAGTGACGAATGGCTGCCAGCCAACAGCTAACTAGGAAACAAGAACCCTGAGGACATCCTCTAGCCTCCCTGATACTTAATTTCAGTCTTGTGAGTCCCTGACCAGAGAATCCATGGGCTTTAGCTTCTAACTTACAGAACTGGAAGCTGAGTGAGTGCTGCTGCAAACTGCTGACTGTAAGGGGTGCAGCAGCCAAGCCTACAGCAAAGCTCTAAGCCTGTTCTCAAACATCCTGTGGAGGTTTTTAATATTAGTATATACTACAAGAGGTTAGCCTGGGGAGATGGGGAGATCAGGCAGAACAAATCTTTATAGAGTTGGACTCTTTCACACACCATGGCATATCAAGTGAGCACTGTCCCTAGCGACTGTGACAATGAAGACACCCTTATAATTTCCCTCCTTCTAGGATAGTGGTTCTCAACCTTCCTCGTGCTGCAACTCTTTAATATAGTTCCTCATGTTGTAGTGACTTCCAATCACAAGATTATTTTCGTTGCTACTTCAACGAAAAACTGTAATTTTGCTACTGTTATGAACTATAATGTAAATATCTGTGTTTTCCAATGATCTTAAGTAATCCCTGTGAAAGGGTCGCTCAACCTACAAGAGGGGTTACAACCCACAGGTTGAGAACCGCTGTCCTAAGAAGTGC